CACTGTTCCCATCCCCCCAATTCCCCAATAAAACTTTAAAATAAAATAGTTTTGAGTACTTGTTTGTGCAAGTTACAGAATTTAACTGTGGGTAATCTGACCTTGAATCCAAAGTGTGTTTGTGTGTACAAATTATACCATAGGTCACCCAGTTATAAATTCTTGAATATTACTAAAAAAAAAAAAAAAAAAGTTCCTGGGAAAATAGTCCACTAAGAGAAGAAAGGTTTGTTGCAGAGAACATCAGTTAGAATGCTTTCATTTGAAAGACAACAATACTAAACAATAAAACATTACTAAATACTAACCAATAAAAAGACCTAAAATCAAGGACATTCATTTTTATTTAACAAGAAGCCTGGAGGTTGTCCCCTCCAGGGTTAGTTTGTCAGCTCTGCCGTGACAATGTGGAGAACTAGGGTGTGACATTTTCCTGGACTCTGTCCTGGGTGGTAGGGTGGGTGCTGCCACTTCCTACATCACTTCCTCATGTGACTACTTCCCAAGACAGGAGGCAGGGGACAGCCAGGATGGCAAGAAAGCTCTCCCCAGATACCCTTCTGCTTTTATCATGGAGGAAAAATACTTCTTAGAACGACTCCAGAAGATTTCCTCTTACATCTTCTTATTCAAAACGAAGTGACGTGCCATTTTTGGTATCCAGGGAATCTGGGAAAGGTAACATTGGCTTTTCATTCTTTCTAGTGGAAAGCAGGAAAGCAAAAACAGAGCTGGGAAAGGTTGTCAAGCAGCCAAATATGGCTGCCTGCCACAAGAATTTAATTAGAAACACTGGAGATATAAAATATTTAATAATGGGGATGACCTGTTCAATAACCAATCAGAACAGACGACGGCAGCCTGAGACAGCTGGTTAGACTGTGGTTGGGGGTTCCACTTACACTTAATTCGGTACAAGTCCTCCCAAACGTTAGCAAAAGTCTCACAAGAATGTTTGTGTTAACTTTGTAGTTCTTCCCAGGAAGGAGGTAGAAGAGCTTTTGTTTAATCAAGCGTTGTGAAGAGGCGTGTACTAGTTGTCAGCAGTCCATGGAGGATAATTCCTGGGTTACCTCTTAAGGTTGAAGGATAGGCTAAGGCCGCACTGCCTTTGTCAGAGCAGCTCCGAATTTGTTCTCTTTCTTTACTGAGTTTGAAAAGCATTTAGCTGCTAGCAAAATGTCTGATAAACATGGGTAATTTGTTGCAGCTGTAGTGTAGGGTTTCCTAAAATGTGAGCTGTATCAGAATCCCCTAGGCATACTTGTCTAAAATTCAGTTCCCTGGACCCTAGTCCAGACCCATAAATTCAATATTCTGATTCATTGATTTGGGGTAGGTCCCAAGTATTTGAAGCAAGATCTAAAGTTGGAAGCCCACCAAGATTCCCTATAACCGATACTGTCTTAAAAAGACACCTATTTCAATAATTAGAGATCTGTGTAAACATCAAGTTACAAAGATAATTATTTTTAATGGTTGTCTTTAATGGTGATATATTTTTTTTCTTCCCTAAATTCTTGGGTTGGATATTTGACCTTGACATTCTCATATAGATTCTGAAACTACATGCCTGGTTTCTCTTGGCTTGTGCTTGTGTACGCAAAGTGAAAAGTGAAATAGTCATTGAAAGTGTTATATAGAAATCATTTATGGGCCCTGCCAGGAATGCTTTGTTCCTTTCATCAATGAAGCAATATTTTAGAATAATTGTTTTAAATGACTAGAGCAGGTTCCCCCGCCCCCACTCCCAGGAGTTAAATCAAAACAGGCAAGCACAGACAAACACAAGAAGTACTACTTTGTAAATGGTTGAAATTCAGGTACCCTTTTATTAGGTCACAGCAGTATGAAACAGATTAAATTTCAAGCGTGGAGACTTTAAATACGGTTCCTGTGATTGCAAAGCATCCACAGGCATTCCTTTGCACTAATAATTACCCTCTCCATTAATGCAATTGTTGCTAAGAATTAAACGGAAAGATTCGAAGGAAATTACAGTTTCTTTTTGTTTATCACAACACTAGAGGGTAAACTGTAGATTAATTAAATGCTCGCTTCAGTTTCTATGTGGTATCGATGTTCCATTCAGAGTTAAAGCTTATCCTCTCACACTAAAAATCCTGTTTATAAGATCATTTTTAATCCTCTTCTGAAAAGGTTTCATTTATAATTAAGTATGCTCTCTCCTCGACTTGAATTGTTCACAACACACAATGCAAATGAAAACGTCCTTAATGGCATGGAAAATTGGGGATGAGAGAATTCTCACACACTGACTTTCAGTATGTTCTTATAATTTCTCCAGAAATGGTATTATATTTGAATCAGTGCCCTCTCCCATTACAATGGAAACATGGAACAAAAGAATGAGAGCACAGGTTTCTGTCCCAGGGGCAAGCCCACCAGGACCCAACTCGATAATAAAGAGCAACAGTTTTGATTAATGACTAAAGTGAATAATAATTCTGTTCAGGCTTTATTTCCCCTGCCTTTGCCTTCTCCTGGTCCCCTGCTTCCCTTTCTTTCTTCTTAATTTCAATAACTGCTCATCTCTTGTTAATCTTTAAAAGTCCTTTCTAGAGTTTCTTTAAAATAATATTTTGTATATTTTAGAAAACTACCAAGGCAATAAGAGAAGAAGAACTGAAATGGGCAGTGAGCTGCAGTAAATTGCAAGTTTACAAAAAGTGTCCCTAACAATTTACTGCTCATACCAATTAAGCTGAAATGTGTACACACAGATACACACACACACACACACACACACACACACACACACACACAGAGTCTATAAAAAGCAAACAGTAAAGATAGTTCTTACTTAATTTACACTTTCAAAAAAAATATGACCTTGCTGTCCACCATAAAAATGAAGAGGCATATTAGCAAGAAAAGATTCTGTACCTTCCTTTTGTTTGGTTAGTTTTGAGTTTCCATTTCTTTCCTTTTCATTTCTATTTGTATTTATATTTTAATAGAAAAAGAGAACCCAATTTCAAATGGACCTGAAAGCCATGATGTAGAATGGTGACCACTGATAAAAGGTAATCCCCTTTTCTTGCAGCCTGGTGGATGAGATCTGGATGGATTCAACAGATTTGGACCAAAGCAACAACACAGTCCTTGATTTATGAACCTCCATACTGTGAGCCTGGCGTCAGACCAGGAACCATTTTTTGGATGTCCTACCCAGGAAAGACAGCCAAGCGTCTTCTTTTCCAGCAAGGTAGGTTCACTAGGGAAACCCAAGCCTCAGAAAGCTCACAACGTCTGAAGACCAGAAACCTGCCGGCACTTACGCATTGTTGGGCCCACACAGGCATTAAACATTGTTGATTCATGACCAACATTTAAAGATGTGAGATTTAACCTAGGAAAGCAAGGTAACTGATCGTTTTAGAAAAATGAAAACATCTGGCAACACGGATGCTACATGTGGCAGTGATGGGCAAGAATGAAGTAGATGCTATCTATCCCTTTGGACAGAATGTGGGTGCTCCCGTCTTCGCAGCCTCCACTCCTCCGTGGTGCCCACGCCCTGCCCTCGCCACTGTTACTGCCTGCCAGGCCTCTGCAGCCATCAGAGCACGATTCCTGAGGTCCTCCAATGTCTGCACTTTTCCAGAAGAGGAGACACAGTTGTAAGAACTGAAGGCCTTTATATCGTTCCGATGTGCTTACCACACTAAGTCTAGGAACCATCTCTCACCACGTAAAGGTATCACACGATTATTGGCTATATTCCCCTTTGCCTTTTTCATCCAGCCCTCAGCCACCCTCCCCTCTGGTAACCATCAGTGTGTTCATTATTTCTGAGTCTGTTTTTGTGTTGTCTGTCCATTTGCTTTGATTTATTTTTAAATTTCACTACGTTGTACACTAAAACTAATATAATATTGTGACCAACTATACTTTAATAAAAAATAAAAATAGAATAGAAGAGCTAGCCACCTCTATGCAAATGGGAGTGGAGATCTACTCTTTCCCCAATATCAGCAATCACTGAATAAAACCTGCTTTCACAACTTAGAGAGAGAGAGAGAGAGAGAGAGAGAGAGAGAGAGAGAGAGAGAGAGAGAGAGGTGGAAGGCCTTGACTGAAGCTGCAAGTGAGGTGAAGATGAGCAGAACACAGGGGGTCAGGCTCCCCCGTGCTAACGTGACGTGGTGTCTCCCCAGACACAAGTGAGTAAGAACCCCAGAGTGTAGAACGTGTGGGTGGAATTCTTTCCCTAGATATGTTTCTGCTTTCTCCCAATAAACCTAGGGTCTCGCACCAGAGATTAGAGGTTTACTGTTACTGTTACTAACAGCCTTTTAACCTCACTGGAAGGGCCAGGCCCAACCCCCAGGGCCTGATCAGACATGATTTAGCTCTGCCATCTAACAAAGATTGCCCAAGAGGAGTGGCATGCCAAGGGGGCGCCTGGGAGTGGTTGGCCCCGCTGCCATCAAGAAGACAGATGTAGTGCTTGTAGACAATGCTGAAACAATAATACAACTGACTAAAAGTCAGTCTACTTGTTATCGATATTATACACTAGCAAATCTAAATAATACCAGTGATATAGATTCCTCTCTAAAAAATGTGTTGTTGTTTAAGTTCTAAACAACTGCTATAAATACAATTGAATTTTAAAAAATACATATATGTAAGCGGAAAATTAGTATATTTTATTATCTCTACATGAAGCTTGGAGAATCCTCAGTTAGGCAGCTCACCCAGAACACCTAGACCCAGCTATGTGAATTCACATTGAGAATAAGTTTGTAACAGTTTGAGATCCTCTGAGCTGGCTTCAGGCTAAGTTCCAGTTTCTAAGCCCTGCTGTGCTACATATTCCAGTGTTTAAACAAACAGTAGTTTGGACATAAACAATGATGGCACAGCGATTGCAAAGAAAAGAAACAGAACTTGAGTGACTAATTCTGTCATTGCACAGTGTTTCAATTCGTGTTTATAATTCTTCAACTGCAAAGACATTCATTTAAAGCCCCTAGAATCAATCATACTATCTTAAAGAAACAAATATACGGTAGTCGCATTTTGGGGGATTTGTTGTAAAATGGAGTTTTTATAATCTTTGCCAAATTTATCTGCATGTTTAAGATTTTTCATAACTGTCTTCATATATGTTGCTTCGTGACAAGAAACTTTGAGATTAAGTGTAATAAAGCATGTTCTTTGATGAATTGTGAGTCAAACAGATGGAAAAATCTAGCTGTATTCTTTTTTTCAGGAATGTCTGAAGAAGATTCATGTTGGTGGTTTTGATGAAGGCATCGACAAATTGGCAGAAGTTAAACCTCAGAAACAAACTGTCATTATCATTTATTACTATTAGTGAACAATACGATGGTATACATTTCCCCCTTTGCTCAAAAAATGCTTTATGATTAATCTATTACTCCGTGTTTCTTTTCTGACTGTTATTATTATGACTCCTTTTACTTTAGGGTTATTATTAAAAATAATTCTATCTAATAAAGAACGTGGTGTTAAGGATAAGCCCTGGGTGACAATTATACTAGATCTTTCATATTGTGACGTATGATGGTCCACCTTGACCCTAAAGATCCCCATGATGTATCAGATGTAGGTAGCAGATTTTCACCAGGCCTGCAATTTGGACTTAATTTAATGCCAGCTTACTATCTACAATAGAATTCTTTGCACTGAAATTTTCCCTGGAGAGTTTGACAGTAATTCACTCCTCAGTTGACCCCATAACACTTTGCCCAGAAATAAATATGTCATGAAATGTTTACATGACTGTCTCCCCCAGTAAACATGAGCCCCTACAACACAGGGAATGTGCATTAATTATACTATTTCTCCTATATTTCAGGTACCTAATGAACTCCATTGGATGGATGGATGGATGGATGGATGGATGGATGGATGGATGGATGGATAGGTAGCGTTCTCATCTGAGAACAACACTTTGTGAATACATAAGATTTACATTTTACTAAATTAAATAGATACCTCTAAAAGGAGTTATATTTTTTTAAGAGCATACTCTAACCCTAATATTATTGCACTTTAAAAACCACATCTCACTTATATTAGGTGTCAGAAAATCGAACCTAATTCTTTGGAAATCTTTAAATAGCCAATAGTCAATCAATGATGTCATGGCAGCCTAGCAAAGTGCAGTTTCCCAAACTTCAGCTTCATTGCATATCACTCTATATTTTTGCCTAAACTATTTTATATTTTTATTATTCATTTATGTGATTATTTAGTATATCTTTTTCTTTAACTCTACCCACTTTTATAACTTAAATACATATTTTAACCCCATTGTAAGAAATAATATCCACAAATATTTGAGTTTCATGTACCCGTTCCATTACTTCTCTAATGCACACTAAAACACATAAACATAAAATATATCACATCCATTTTAGAATTATCTAAGTATATACCATGGGAAAAAGCTTGGCATGTACTTAGTATATACTTGGTACATACTTAGAACTATTAAGTGTATACCATGGTAATCACTGTCACAGTAGAACGAACATAGGCTTTAGGATAAGATGAATGAGTGTTTAAGCTAGAGCTTTGCCATTTCCAAGATGACTTAACCTCTTTAAAAGTTAATACTTCAGGGCCGGCCAAGTGGCGCGTTGGTTAAGAGCTGGCTTGGGATACCAGGGGGCCCCGGTTTGGATCCCACATATGAGGGCCAGTGACACTGCACTCCACAGATAAGATGCTGAACAACAGCTCAACCTGGAGTTGGGCTGCCTTGAGTCCCCAGCCACAGCGTAGGCTGCAGCCCCTGCTGCAGTGGGTTGCCACGGGCTACCGTATGTAGCCAGCAGCCACCGTGAGCGGCCGTCCAGAAACCGGCGACTGATCCGCCTCGCCCGGGAAGAGCACAACGATGGTGCCAACTTGGTCCAGTGAAGCAACGTCCTCCACAACTAGACTGAAGAACAAAAGGACAGCAACTTATCTGTTCCCCTTCCCCCAGTTCCCCAGTGCTGTTCCCATCCCCCAATTCCCCAATAAAAATCTTTAAAAAAAAAGTTAATACTTCATATAAATATAGAGATAAGGAAACTGACCTCAGGGACTTTTGAAGATTAAATGAGATAACATATGCAAGTCACCTAATGGGAGCCTACCATAGATTATTTCAATGTTCAACCAAAGCTGCTAAAATGATATGGATGCCTCACCTTTCAAACTCTATTCCTTCCTTCTCTGCGTCTCACTCTAAAAATCTGTTGCCCACTCTTCTTTTAATATAGCCTCACAGAACCAAAGGGGCCCAATTTTATGTAACATAAACATCTTTCATAGTAACTGCATTGCATACAAATAAATATGAACAACATTAAAATACATATGGGTAACTCTTAGGGAGCAAGAGTACAGAATCGAGAATTCTTTTCCCGGCTCTGCTTCCACTGGCCTTCTGCCAGCTCAGAACCACCCCATGGGCTCTCTGGGCCTTGGTCTCTTTGTCTAATCAAATTAAGAGAGTAAATGATTTTCCCACTTAAATGTTAGTTTAAATTTTTAATTTCAAATTAAACAGTGATGAGATGTTTGCTATTTAACACAGCATCCCTTTGCTTTCTTGTTTTCTCTCCCTCAGCTTTTCTTATTCTTATTGTGTACATGGTGCAAAGTTCCCTGGGAAGGGGAAAAGGCCTTCCACTGAGGTTTCGAGAAAGGGTTTTTCAAGTTCAAACAAGTTTTAACTGAAGGTCTCGTGACCCTTCTCCTATTGAACCATCAGCTCAGGCCCTTATCAGGGTGTTCTAATCTCCCATCCCTCTTTCACCCAGGTGGCACCAACTCACTTTTATTTATTCTTGTCTTGTTGGAGGACATGCACTCTCAGGGAGAAAGTAGGTTAAAAACAAGAGCAGAAATCAATAGCTGCAATCTGAACAGTGGAGAGGAATTTTAGTTTACTTTTTGTTTCCCCCCCCCAAAGAGAGAAAAGTATTTAGAGTTTTGATTGCATGGTAAAGGCCCCCAAAGCATTTAATTAAGATGTCTGAGGCAGATAATAATAAATGTGAGGGATTCGGCTCCTCCAGTGATCATCATGCAGACAGGCTGGAAACAAACAAGCACCAAAGCAAGAATACATGTTTCTCCATCTGCCCCTCCTTCCTGTGGCCTCAGCAGGCTGGCCACATATGTGCCCTGAGAGGTCAGCCTGATTGTGGTTAGAAGAACACAGACTGCCTTAAAGCAGGCCTGTGTTCAAATGCTAGATCTAAAGGTTCCCATGGTAGGACTAGAAGTTGCTTAAGTTCTCCAACTCTCAGTTTCCATCTACAAAAACTGGGATTACACGGGGTTTTGTGAAAACCAATTAAGAAATTGTTCCAATTATTATTGCATAACATGCTGCTCCAGAATTTAATATGTCAATGACGATGCTATTTTACTTATGAATTTTGTAGGTCAGGAATTTGAACAAGATATATGGGGTGCTAAAGAATCTATACACATGACTTGTACTCATCTTTTGTTATTGGTATTATATATATATTGAGTATTACAATTTTAATAGTTTTTTCCTGTCTTAAAATGTGTATATGTTTTTTTGGCACCCTCTGTAGAATCAATATGGCTTGTCTGTGCTACACTGTCTGGAACTTCAGCTGGGAAGACTCAATGGCTGGGGTTGACTTAAATGGATGGGGCTGAGATTATCTTCACTTACATGTCTGGTGCCTGAGTCTAGATGACTCAAGCAGTCGGGCACATTAGCACCTCTCTCAATGTAGTCTCAGGACCTTTCCATGTGATTTCTTCCCAAGTTCTCACCATCATGGTGACCTTAGGGTGGTCAGATTTCTTACATGACAGCTCAGAATTCCAACAACATGTAGTCCAAAAACCAAGGTGGAAGCTCAGTGGACTTTTCTGACCTAGCCGTGGAAATCACATAGCATCATTTCACTGTGCTCTGTGGGGCAGTGATACTCCACCCTCTCAGATTGAAGGGGAGTGCATATAGGTACTGTATTTAAGAGATACTATATTTAAAAGCATCAGGCCCAGTATCTGGAATATTGGGGCTCCAGAAACATTATAGATTAGAATGCCCCCAAATAAATTCCTTGTTGTAATAATACTGCAATAAATAAATCATAATACATGTGAGCATCTCCTTCATAAGACACTTTTATATCCATTAATTCATTATGTCACATTATCACTACCTAAGCAGGAGAAATTTTTTTTCCTTATATTGGAAATAAAGAAAGCAAAATTCAGAGAGTTTAAATCAGTTGCCCAGGATTACACAGCTAGTAAGAAGTGTAGCTGGGCACAAAACCCAGGATATCTAATTGATGTTTCAATCTGCTCCACTTTGTACAGTGAATGGGAATAAATATACTCAGGTATAGAAATATACAGTTTCTTGTAATAGAGGGATGTGGTAATCATTGGCAATTTCAGCTCATCGATTACAAAATTTGCTTATATTACTTTAATTATATATTTTCCTTTTTATCTGTGTTTCTTTTACTTACTTGTTAGAAAAATAAAGTATTGGCTCCCACTTGTATTATGTGACAATATGTTGCGTGAAAATATTCTGTGAATCCTCCCCTTTTTGTGTCATAAAGAAAAAGTTCCCTGACAGACCACCTTCCTAGAAGCCATTAACAATTAACTTTGTGACAGCCATTTGTTTCTCAGGTTCTCTGTCATGGTGAGTGGTAGACCTGGACGCTGGCATCCCCCTGTCTGTACCATTTCTCCTTCAGTGGGAAGAGAGCTCTTAATATGCGGCTCGTTCAAACTGACATGTGTGGTAAATGTAAACTATATAGTGAAAATCAAAGACTTAGTATAAAAACTAATACAAAGTAGCTCGATAATTTGATATGAATTATGTGTGAAAAATTATAATATTTTGGATATATAGGGTTAAATAATATATATTATTAAAATTAATCTTACCTGTTTCTTTTTACATTTTTTAGTGTGGATACTAGAAATTAAAAAATACAAACGTGGCTTACATTACATGGTTCTTAGACAGTACTTATCTGAACAGTTTAAAGGCATAGGACTATATCATGCTAATAATGAAAAGTCCAATACTGGAGCAACATGCCAAAAATTTCTTAAGAGAAGCCGCTTGAATTTTTAGCTACTATTAGTATGAAGACATGGCTAGCAAGACAACTAGAAGCTAGACATCCATGATATTCAGTGAAGTTTGTGTCACAGTATGTTCAATCCAGTATTTTACCAAACACCACTCAACACTTGTAAATGTTTTTATGTTTTCCTTCCATTGTAAAAATGGCTGGAATAACATGAAGGTGCAATTTGGCAACAAACTGAAAGGCTTTGCCAGCAAACTGACAGGAAATGTATGAAAAACATTAATGGAGATGTGAAAAGCAAATATTAGAACAAATGACACAACGTGGGAAGGTGCTGTGTAGTTGAATAAAAACACAGATGTTTTCACCTGTCTCAGCTTATGTTATTTGTTCAATTATTTTGTA